AATATTTTAATGTATGTTTTTTATTTCTAATTGACTGGTAGGGTAAAAATCATTTTTAAAATGTCTAAATATCCCTATTTACCCTGCAAATAGAAATGACCCTGCTGAAGATACCTGAATCCATGAAGCTGCTTTAAAAATATTTTTTACATATCTGATTCATTACATGATTTGCCAAAGTACCTACAATGGCTCTCTGGGTCAAACAATATGTTTTTCATTAATTTCCTTGACATTTTTTGTTTGTTTAGAAATTAATGTTAAGAAAATAAGCCAGCAAGGACATTCACATACAAAATCTACATTTAAATAATGTTAAAGTCCTTTCCCAAATGTTGGGAAATTCAACTTTGGGCTGGTGCCTCCGCTCTTACATCGCCGGGCCATAGTCTCCAAAGGCCTGCTCTGGACTGAGCTTGTGATGTCTGCAACCTCAGTTCTTTGTCAGATGTGCACAAATTGCAAAAATTGCATTCTAACGTGGACTTTGAACACCCCCAAATTCAGTATGGTTTCATACCCAGTTTTTGAACTGGCCCATTACAAAGATGGGGGACCTTTGCAACATTCAAAGCAAGATCTGGGACCAGATTTTGAAAACTTTCAAAGTTTCCTGGGGTTCAGATCCTGGGTTTTGTTTTAAGGACATTTCTTCTTCTGCATCCATGTGGACACACACACAGCTTCTGTATGCCCAAACAGACACAGTTGCCAATACCACAGGTGCAGGTAAGAAGGGCCATTGAAAATTTGGCTCACGTTTTGTCTGGAACTGTGTCATTAACTTTGAATTTCCTAGCTTTTCTTGGGTTTGTTCACAACTTAGCATATCCTAAAACTAGTGTCTGTGTTTGAGTGTACAGAGATTATATAGCTAGAAACACAGAGGTGCAACAGATGCTACACACAGGCTAAGCAGCAGTGAGGCAGAGGGGAGAAGGTTTACTTTGCATTTCTCATTGGAGGACATTTATGAGCCAAAAATCAAACCTTCTCTCCAAAAAATTAATGTTTCTCAACCATCAAACTGAGAAAATGTTGCATTACTGACTCTCCAGCAACTGCATATGCAATGGGAGTGGGGGAAGGAATGGAGATAGAAGGATCATGTGAGGAGTCATGGGGAGGATTAGACTGGAATTTGCAATGAGAAAAACTATGTAAGTGGATGAGCAAAAAAACCATCAGTTAGGTCCAAATTCTGTTCTGAGTTACACCAGTGTAAATATGGAGGAAATCCACTGAAACTGAGCTGTGAGTTTTTCTTTGCTGTGTAGACGTACCGTAGGTTTACTTGCACGTGCAAAAGCACATGTGTTCCTCACATTGGGTAATTGTTTACAGCTGAGCAGTCAGCTATGCAAATGCAGATTTTTGCATAAGTAAATGGAATCACCTGCAAATATCATGGGTGCAATTCTAGTGGTCCATTAGAAAATGCATCTCTGTGGGCCCCATTGGAGTTTGCCAACATTTTTGTGCTCCCCTATCTACACCCTTTTTTTGCACATTTAAATACAGCTGCATGTACAAAAGCCAGATTTACACATTCATTTGCAGCAATTTTCCATGTAAATGTAGCCTGTGGGCCACATCTTATGAAAGTCAGGCCAGGTGAGTTTAGAGAGAGCGTGGGAATAAGCTGCCCTTTATAAATATGGATTTTAATGTATGATAGTTCCAAATTCAAAGCAAACACTCTTA